CTTATCTGTCACTGGAGCGGGGTTATTGTTACATAACAATGCTTTATGCGTAACAAGTACCGGTTCTGGAATTGACTCTGGAAAACCAACAGCCTGCAATACATTTAAACATTTCTGCAAGACAGCTTGCAGAGATCAAAACACAACCTAATTCGCAGAGCAAGAAAAGACCTTAAAGGAAATTAGAAGTACTTCAGCCTGTTTTCTTTTTTTAGCTGGCAAGCAGATTTAAGAACAGAGGGGTCCAATCATAGACGTGCTGGATGGTGTGCCAGTTGTTACCAGACTTTGTAGCTGCCAGTAATATATAAAGTCTGTAATATTTTTAAGGTCTGAAGAGATACGGTTTAAAATAAGTAGACCTGCATTATTCCTAATGGCCAGCAGGGGGCAACTCCACAAAATGTCCGAGTGTGTAGAAGTGTATGACAAAATGACCTTGCTTGCCACTTGATGTATTACCTAAATAAACGCATTCCTAAAGGGATTATGGTCTCAATCGCAGGTTTCAAGTCTTCTTCAACACAGCATATATTGATTTAGCTAATTATTTAGAGGAAAATAGATGATAAATCAGGGCATACTTTAGGCCATCCACAGGGAACCCCTAGATTAGACATAAGTTACAGCAGGCCTGATTTTAACTTCTCCGTTTGATTTGTGGCCATTTAACTGTCTCATTTTGCACTAGTTACAAAGCCAAGCACAAGGAATCTGAACTATTACCTTTATTAGGTTAACAGATAGGCCCGATGTTGAGGCTGAATCGACATTGAATTACCCTCAATCTTTTACATCTGTTAAATCGTATTTTTCAACTTGCACTTGATTAGATGCTTAAGATGTCTGCTGGAGGAGCTTTTTATAAATAACAGTTGGGTCTTTTGTGTGCTGTCTGACAAGGGAAAATACAGCAGCCAACAAATGTGTCATAGGTAGAAGAAGGTGTAAAGCACATCAGAGTAGCATGCTGAGAGTAAGTGTGGAGGTGGGGATGTCTCCCTCTGTCTCTCTGCTAATGGGATGTGAAGCACATTGTAATGCTCTCCATATGATAATAGTCGCCACAAAACAACGCATCACTCCAGTCGCATTAATGCATTTCACTCTATTATCACACTCCAGCATGACACTGGCTGGCTTGCCACCAGGCTGTTCTTTTGCCTGTCTGACTTTGTGTCTGTCTCCCTGCCCACCTGCATGACTGGTGCTTTTATAAGTCAATCTGTCTCTTGTTTACTGTGTGTCTGCCTACCTGCCTGTCTGTCCGTCCATCTGCTGGCCTGACCGTCGTCTCTCTCTCCTTATATTCTTCCCAACTGTTTATTTGCCTTGCAAGCGTCAGCAACTGCATCACAATAACATGTACACAACTATTCATCCTCCTCTAAAAAAAACATACACAGTGAATTCAAGGCCCACAATTGGGATTAGGAAGTTTGACAGATTGCCAGACCTAGAGAAACACACTGACTAAAACACTTCCTTTCAACACATCCAGTCTAAATGTTCTGTGTTTTCTATTGCCTTTTCTGTAAAGCTTTCTCAGCTTGTAAGGCTCCCTTTAAGCTCCTGAAACCACTGCAACTTCAAATGCACCTCTCATGCGCTGAAATCAATTTAAATAAATAATCTTACACATGCGTTGGCCTGTTTCCTAATAACATATACACATATATATATTATGTTGTGTATTTTAATGACCCTGAAGCAGCACATATGAGCGGACTTATATCAATGATGAGCAGCTAGACTAAATAGTATAGGCTTGTATTCTTATGGGGGTCCAAACCCATTTGCAACCTATAAATGCCAATAAAATTTTGATTCTAAAAAATAGATTACAGTTCATGGCGAAGTATATATGGACTGAAACCACAATAATAATGGTCACATAAGTTATTGATTCTACTACAGATATTCTCCAGAGGTGGGAGGGTTAAGTGAGAAGTCAGGCTCAGTTGCAAAACACTGACTCTGAAGGTGGTAGTGTCTTGCTCAATAGCAACTCAGCAGGCAGGACTTTCACTAACATGCCTGTTTAAACCCGCAGAACATACTCTCTCCACTGACTACACCAACCCTGAAAGCTAATTTCATCTCCTGAGGTAGGGACAGGCAAACACAACCACTGGCTATCTGATGGAATGGAGAACGTCCAGGATGTCCAGCTTCTATGCACCCTTGCGCTGATACTCCTGAAGCGAGGCTGGTTATGTCTTTCAAATGAAAAGAAACACAGCCTGACTACATCCATACTACATGACTCTTTGTATGAACTAAAGTTCAATCACAAATCTAACACTTTGTCCAGGCTCGCCAGTCTCATATGGCACTTGAAACTGCAGTCAGCATGTCAGAAACTTCATGGATCTGCCCTCAGCCGTGTAGCTCTTTCAGTAAGTCTGCAGGAGCTCTCCATGGGCCTATGTCAGACCTCAGCACTGATATCGGTTGTTATTACTGTGTCCCTCAGAAAGCATCTAAGGAGCTATTCTTGATCCTGAATCCCATATTCAACCCTACTGTCTACCTAACCATTACTCTTTACGGTTCCTTGAACTATATCTACTCTCCCCATGGAACTGAAACCAATGTCAGACCTCAGCTCTGAGATCAGTCTCTATTAGAATGCCATTGGTCTTGAATTCTGGTCATCTTCTTTTAATCTAACTGCAAAATACAAAAAGCTATGCTGGATCACCACATGGTTCTAAAACCATGTAGGAGCTCACTGGCACTGAGCATATATTGGAGCTCTCCGTGGTGCTTAAACCGTCTAGAGCTCACTATGGCACTACAATGATGTTAGAGCTCTCCAAGTTCTGAACCCACGTCGGATCTCTCCAATATGCTGAAGATTAGTTAAACCTCACCACTGAGTTGAGTTTCTGTTACACTGCTCCTGGGACTGTAAGGAGCTCTGAATCCTAATCAACCTGTTTAATTCCATCCACAAACTACAAGCAGCTATGTTGAATTATGTTAGAGCTGTCCATGGTTCTGAAACCACATCATCTCTCCATTTAGTTAAAAACTTGCCATTGCTAGGAATCAGACTGCCTCTGAGGATCTCTCCATGGTCCTGAATTATGAACATTAACATATATTTGCATATTAATGCCGAATGTGTAGGCGACAAGGGACAAGAAGAAGCATTGTGGTTTCCTTTTGTAGTCTGTAGATAATGATTGGTCAATAATGCAAGTAGTATTGACCAATCACGTTTGAGCGGGAATTGATTGCATGCAGGTGAACAGTCCGTGTGGAAAGCGAAATGAGGCTGAACGCAAAATGCAATCTTGGAACCCTAGAGATTAGCTTTTCATAAATGTATCTGCACTAAAAATAATCATCAGGCGATTGCCGATGGGTTATGAGATTGCTAATTGGACTGTAAACAATTACCAGCCTGTGAAGAGGAAGCCTTGGCCTGAATATACATTATCCATTATCCGGAGATCCGCTAAGTTCACCAGAAGCCCCGAAACATTGGACATTGATCCCAGAAGCTGATTGTCGGTGGGTTCCAAGACTGATCCATGAACTAAAAGCAGCTTGTTCAGATGTCTGTGGAGATATTTTTGGACTGCTCTTTCAGATCTTTCTTTGAAACAGAAGCCATCTCAGTGTGGAGCTGTCACTGGTCCCTAAACACTCCCTGGCTCCCTTTATGCTTCGAAACCATCTCTCTGTCGTGTTGTGTTCTGTTCGGCTGTGTTGTTTCCTCTACTCTCTAAAAGACATACAGTCAGGACCATCATCATCATAAATAATATAATTAAGTCAGATTTTTTAACGTACTGTATGTGTTAGTGGTTTCACAGGGAAGCTCTGCCTGCACAGTGAATTACCAATTCTGAGAGAGCAGATCTTACTTTGCTTCTTTCTTCCTACACGTAGAGTCAAAATCTGCATATCTTTGGTGAACTTATGTAAGATTTTGGTTAACATGTAACATATATTGCAAAAATATCTTAATGTTTTTTTTTCCCCTGCAGGATTTTTTAATCATTCAGCCCTATTGCTCTTCTACTGCCCCTTCTTTACTCTCCTCACCCTTCTCCCATCCTTCCCCTCTCCTCATCTCACCTATGCTATCCTCACTTCCACACCTCTCCTCTGACCTTGTCTTTTCCTGTATCCCTTGTTTAACACTCTTTTGTGATTTCCTCCCATCTCCCCCTCCTCCTCCCTCCTTGTCCTCTACTGCTCCATCTACTCACTTCTAACATATTTCCTCACCTGCCCCTTTCCTGGATTCCTGGATTCCTTACCTCTATTCCACTTTCTTTTCCTTCCGCCTAGTTTCCTTTTCCTCCCCACTCTCCTCCCCTCTTGTGTTCTCATCTCCTAGCCTCCTGCATAATGGATGTGGCTGTAACGCCAGTCAACTGGAGCGGCATGATGAGGCAGCTTTAGAAACAGAGAGTGAGACAGAAGGCTCCCCCAAAATGGGTTCTATTACTGCGCTCCCACACACACGCGCGCGCGAACGGATGCAACCATACGCGCGCAAGCCCAACGTACACGCACGCACACAAACAGCACGCACACATTCCCATACAGGCACGACGGGGCTGCCAGCCTGTCCAATGCATCACAGCACAGAAGTGAGACGCCAAATAACAATTAGCCTTTCACCGTTTGAACCACCAGAGAGAACACTGTCAATAGCGCGAGCGCAGGTGTGCTAGATTTTAGAGAGCTCTAAATAAATAGTCTGCAGCCTAAGAGAATGGCAGAGTCTTCAAACAGTGCCAACACAGGCGCAAAAAGAGAGCAGTCACACACAGAGCGAGGTTATGGCAGAGCCTAATCAGATTACAGCGATGATTCATTTCCTGGGCACTAAGAATAAAACTATTGTTGGCACCGCGATGAGCCCGGCATCCCCGTGGCAGAAAAAAAATCAACTGCATAGCTGAGCTCGGTCCCACCGAGCATCCTCCGCCATCTCACACACCCTGCATTATTAACAGCCGATCAATCAGCCTTACCTTCATCGATCTCCAGCTCTTCTAGTCTTGTCTCCAGAATCCCTTTTTCTTCCTCGGCCGATCCGTCCACTAACAGATGAGTTAAATCACAATGAGAAGGCTTTAAAAACGGCGGTCAGGCTCGGCGGCTTATCCCAACTCCTGGTCTCCTATCCTGCGAGACTCCTCTTCCATCCACACAGGGAGAGAGAGGCTATCTTAGTAGTTTTCTGGGGCTGAATAAACGGGAGTGTGTGTGTGTGTGTGTGTGTGTGTGTGGGACCGGACCGCAGAAGCTGAATTACCGCAACAGACGTGCTCGCAGTTAGGCAGAAGAAAAAAGGGTGGCGAACCGGGAATCCAGGTGCCGGTGGTCTCAACGTGCAAACCCACGACAAGCACCCACGTACACATAGATCCTCAAACGAGAAGGGTGGGTGGATGGAGGGGGTCACACGGTTGCTGAAAAACTCCAATTAGCCTCCCATTCGCCCTCCAAAGCCTAATTGAGGTTACTCCAATAAGGCGTTTAAGGTAACATGGACGTAAGAGCTCGTGCCATCAGTGTAAATTTTCTCTTTCATTGGACACAGTCCTCAGAGATATCCAACGCCAGAGGAAGCAGAGAAAAGTGATGTTGGGAGGCTAAATAGCTAATCTCAAGTCCCAATATAAAAAACCAGTGCGCAGCTCCGGTTTGTGCTTTAAAAGACAAATAGCCTACTATAAGAAACTACAGACCCACCAACACTGAGGATGTCCCTGAGCGCAAATAACCCTTTCACTTATCCGAGCATCCGTTTGGGGGATAAGGACGACTGGTCTGCTCTCAAAACATGCAGCTATTCCTCCAGGTAGGGCCTATTTAACACATAAAACAATTTGAATTCCAAAAATATTCCAGTAACATGCGCGGTTGCCATCTGTCAGCACGCAGGGCTGGACGCTGGCTGTCTTTTTTCCTTCCCAAAACCAAGGTAACAAAATGAAATCCCGTCCCGGTTTCCTTATCACGGGTCCGGGCGGTGTCCAGCTGCGTCCTTCCTGATCAACAATAAATCACACAAGTGAAAACCGACACTGATAATCCAGGGTAGAGCTCCGAAAACATTTGAAATAAAAAAAAAACTGTTTAAGGGAAATTAAAAATCTGTTTAAAATGCAATGACTGAAGCTCTACTTTCAACACGCCAACATCTCGGCAAATATCTCCTAGTGGAGACCTGCCTGCAGCGGGCTTTTCATACCGAAACTCGCCTATTTTTAGAGAAAAAAGATCACCCCACAGTTGGAGACTGTGGAAGCGTAATCCTCGGCGAGGCTCCGAAACGTCACACGTCGGTCTGTTAATTAATCCGCTACATCCATCTCTGTCTGATCCTTTCATTCAGCTACAGCTGCTGCTGCAGGTATTTTTGACAGACGGTTAAAGTTTGAACTTCAGCCGCAGATTCCAGCGCGTGCTTCCCGCCGGTTGGAGGCGGCTGCAAGTGCACATGGCTGAATGAGTGGCACGGGAGGGTGGGCTGTGCAGTGCGCAAGAGAGGCTGCGCAAGGGGTTAGAACAAAAAGACACACCCTATCTATCTATCTATCTATCTATCTATCTATCTATCTATCTATCTATCGATAGAGATTAAATTGTAACTTCATTGTTACCACTAAATTTATGGGAATTGCGTGTAAACATAATATTGAACTGATAACATGTTTTCAGAAGTGCATTTTTAGAAAACTATATTACTTCTCTTTGGGGTCTAAGATGTAAAACATGGTTAGATCCTATGGATCCATTACTTTACCAAGTAAAATTTCCGGTGCCTTTCTGTTTCTGATCTGTTTGATCCCATACATAAGTATTATCACTATGAATGAATGAATGAATCTGGCAAGCAAAAATAACATTTGTTCATACTTAGCGCATATAAAATAAGAAATAGTTCTACACTTTAGTTCACTATTAACATGTTTAATTTCAGGCACACATCAAGGAGCAACCAGCAGTTCAGATACAACATACTGTAACCTTAACCAAAATAAGAGCTTACCTTCTGTGGTTGTGTTGTTAATAATCATTGCCACAACTGATGACTGAGGACACAATTGATAATAGCCAAAGCCCCTGCATATCTAAAGTAGATATTGTGAGTCTTCCATCTGCCAGAGAGATCTACAGTGTGCTTGGTGTTAGCATTCTCAGACAATGAAAAAAGGGTGATGGAAAAATAAAGAAGATGCCAAACCATATTGGTAAAAGTTTGCATTGAATGAAGTTTGCAAATGCACTAGGGCAGCATTTGCTACTTTTTTCTGGAAACTTATTTTACAAATAAACATTAGTTGTGTATGAATCCATGAAGATTAATATATTTGGAGACATAGTTGAACAGAAATGATGCTTTGCTGTCATGTTCACCTAGAGCAGAGACCAACATACTTCTTTTTAAACAGACATTTCCTTAGTTTTGAAGTTTATTTTTACATTCAGTAGTGTGTTTATTTAAGCTTTTAATATTCCTCCACCCTCATCTGTATGCAACAAGTAAAGCACCCATTGCTTTTTAAGTTATGAAAAGCAGATCGGAGTGGGTTTGAACTTTTAAATAACAGAGGAGATAATTATGCCTGATTTTTTTTATCAAATTGCACAAAGAACCGGGCCAACTTCTAGGAAAAAATCAGGAAAAGTGATTTTTTCTTACATCTGTATCAGTTCTTTTTCACATTGAATGGCATAAGAAGGAAATAAGGATGGAAGAAGGGTAAGCAAGGAAATGGTTTCAGTGGCGTGAGGGGTGGCTGCTGTTGCCAGTGCGGCCGTGAATGAGAATTAGCAGCGTCAGGAGAGCGTTCTACGTGGACTGAATGATGAATATTGCAGCACTGTGTAAGTGGAAACGTGCTTTGCATCTCAGTTAATAGCCAATGCCATTAACCTGTGGAAGCGTGAGCAGACATGGTGATGGAAGACAAATGAATAGCCATGATAGATGAGTTGACTAAATGGTTGGGTGGGGAATATGGAGAGCCGTTCACCATGACATGAAAAGACATACGCTATAGACACACATACACATTTACACTGTGGCACACTTTTGTCCCCAAAAACTCATCCCCAAAGTCAGAAATACACACATACTGTACATGTACACATACAAATATAGATTCACATATAAATAAGCGATCCAGCCAGTGAATGATCGTTATGTTTAAGTAATGAAATATACAAAACGGAGAGGCATACCGAATCTCTGTAGTGTCTGCTTTCTCTCTGTTACAGACATTATATCTGACATGTTACAGCAAATGCATAGATTAAACATGATAGATTCATGTGGTGAATTGGAAATATGAGGAAAGGCTGTTGGATGTCAATGGCACTCCCACAGATACCACCAACACACACACATACACGTTTGTTCCACTATCCCCAAGGGGACATCTCATTGACAAAATGCATTCTTTAGCCCTTTACACTGACCTTAACTATCACAACTACATGCCTAACCTTGACCCGAACCCTGGCCTGGTTGTAACCTGAACCCTAAACCTAAGTCTCTATCCTCAAGTTTCCAAGTCCCCACGGTAACACGAGTCCCCGTTGGTTAGTGTACATTCAAGTTCACACTATGATATGAGAACATAAAAATACACACAAATAATTTTCATCCAGTAGAGGAGAAAATTTTTGTCTCTGATCTCAAACTCTCAAAGAATAGTGCCATTAAGACACAGGAGCATGCAGAACAAACAGCTGAACGGGGGAATGACTTGTGGTGTTTGGTTGAAATGAAAGCCTCTATAATCTTTAGGTATAATGGCACAGAAATGAAAATCACTGGTCTGCTGCTCATCAGGAGATAATAGGGGTGAGAGCACTGCTCTTAGAACAGCCACATTTTCTTCAGTCCACATCAATTCGTCTGATGATCCAAGTCAAACTATCTAAAAAGGTTATCTTACATGCTCCACACGCAATACAACGTAGGGGTTGTGACATGCAAAATATACCAATAACCAGAGCATCAGGGGCAACGTTTTGGCAAAGATGATTGGTTTTCACATGTAACATATTTGTCAGAATACAATACTGCTGTAGTTATAAACAAAAAGGGTGAGCCACCCATAGACTGTAAAAAACATGGATGTAGTGTGTGTGCGCCATCCAAAGGTTTCTGAATAGCCTTTGTGTAGCTCAATGTGGGCGGCTCCCAGCGGCTCCAACTGTTACCATCTTGGAAGTGCCTGACCCTGGCCACTTCAAAAAAAATGGGCAAAGAGGTGGAGCTAATGTGAGCCGAATAAAGCGTGGTTTTTAAACCACCTAGTGGCTAACCACCTGAGAGGGCACCCACCTGTCACTCAAAGCAGCACGCTGTTAATTATGCACGATGCATATTTAATCTAATTATTGTCACGGTGAGCCAAGCGCAGACACAGGGAGACAGAGCAGGTTCAGTTTTAGGGTGTTGAAATGTTGAACAAGCTTACGGAGAGTGGAGGCAGGCAATGCTCCAACAATCACAGGTACATTTTCAACACACGGGAAAACACTGGGGAAAGGGCTGTGGACAAAGATGATCTTACAACAATGGGAAGACATATACTTAAATACACAAGAAGGAAGTGATTAACAAGGCACAGGTGGAAACTATCAGGGAGGAGCAAACAATCACACAAGCGGGAAGTGAAGGGATCGGAAACTAGAGGAGAGGTAAGTAACAAAGGAAAAAGGAAAAGCACAGGAAAAAGCTAAACAACTATGGAGAACGAATAACCACAAAGACAGGAAGTTAAATACACCAAACACAAGGAGAATGAATGAATAAATGACACAAGGAAAAACATAATATAGAGAATGGAGAAAAATAACACTGTGACTGGAAGTGTAGTGGACATACGTTACTTACTGCTCCTTACTGCTCAGATCTGAGGATTTTTTTCCTCAGATCTGATTTCTTTTTTTTGACATTATTGCTTAAATGTGGCCAATATCAGACTCCAGTGCGAACTGTCCGGGGCCTGAAAGCAGAAGAATAACACAACGTCACATGCTGTCATGCAGAAGTAAACAGAGCCACAGAGTTTAGCTCCGTTAGCTCATACTCGCTAACTCTCCCAATTTCACTGGAGACTCCTGTTTTTTTATTGTCCTCCCACACGGGTCAAATTTCTCCCAAACTGAATGACAAGTGTTCACAACTTTCTGTCCTTTTCATTACGGCTTCTGGTGCTGTACGCATCTGCTCCACAACTCAGTACCTCTAACTCTCTCTCTTTCTCTCTCCACTGTGTCTGTACAGACAAGTAGGATGCATAAAACTCAGAAGAGAGCTCGCGGTCCGGTGGATTTCAGGTGTAAGAAAGGGAATCTGTGAGCAGATGATAGCAAGGAAGAGGAGGAAGAGAGCCACATGTTTATACTGGCTTTTTGAGGAGCTTTTTCGTTCATCTACAGCGGAACTACAGTACAGCTGCTCTACAGTGACATCAAAGTCGCATCAATTCCAACCCGAGTGTCCAGACTGAGGTCACATTTAATCTGATCTGTATCGGATTTGGACCACATATGAAAGTGGCGCACATTCGAACTGGAAAAGATCAGATTCCATGTGACTTGGCCAGTCTGAAGGTTGCAATAGAGACATGAGGAAGATTAACCAACATAAAAAAGGAAATAGCCCACAAACCCAAAACCAGGACAAGTATAATTTATCCTGGTATGTATAATTACAATTAGCTACCAAGACCAAAAAGGTTTTTGCAACAGGCTGTAAACACATTTATTTCTGCTCTAAAGTTGTCCTTTTTAACATGGGGGTCTATGGGGATTGACCCGCTTTTGGAGCCAACCTCAAGTAGGTGTTTCCACTGTGTTCTGTGTAATTTCTTTATATTCTGGCAACAATCACATTGTCAGTAATGTCTAAATTCAGACATGGTCCACTGGCCAAAGATTTATCAATGTTCCTATTTTCTCACAAAGACCAAACATTTACTGACAGATTTGTCACAATAATATGAAGAAAAAAAACGGGTCTGTTTGGAGCAGGATAGCAGTTAACCTTTGCAGACTATTAAATGTAAGCTGGCTCCCACAATGCCTCTGATTGGTCATTTCTCTGACCAAACAACCAGTTATTCATAACTGCAGCATCCTATGTTTGTAAATTGCTCCATAAAACTTAAAATATGAGCACAAATTTAAAAGTCAGGCTATTAACTTAGATGGCCAATTGTTACACCAAAATTTGTAACAGTTGTGAGGAGGGTTATCTATAAATTTAACAAAAAAACCCCAAAACAACTATTCTCAACTATAATCACAGAAGATATTACAGTATTACAAACTTAACAATAGTGTAATCATCATTACCATATCAACTAAATTTTCAGCTGGACCAAGGACCAAACACAGACACACAGAAATATTCGCGAGGCAACATAATTGATTCACAGTAATGTAATTA